TATATTATGAGGCAGATGGGGAGATGTACCCTACACTATTGCACTTCAGCTCCAATTTCCCCTCCATTTCTCTGCCATATATTCATTTTGCTGGTAAACCTACAACTCTCAAATGTTCTCAACTTTTTCCTCAGAAGTCTTTTTGATGTGATGGACTGCCATCTGCAGTCCTGTTACATCACTGCTCCACGAATAGAAAGCTAGTGAAAAAAGTTGTGCAGTACAAACAGGAGCAATTCAGTCCTAGAGAGAATCTCTGAAGGTGTAAAAATGTTAAATAATTTTTTAAGTATAAATCTTTCCTCATACCTGAAAGCATAACTGTCAAAAAAGCCCTAAGACAGGGAGCACAAAAGGCATTGTACAAACCACTGAATACAAAGACAACTCTTTAGCTTTGACTGCTCACCACTGAGAATTATGACAAGGAGCAATTGGTAGATTATAGGTATTTGTACTGGCACCAGTCGCTGGAGTACCAACCAAAGGGTTGTTAACCAAAACCACAACAGGAAAGCAGTCTCTGATTTCTTCCTACTTTCCTTAAGGCAGTTGAGATTTTTTTTTTTAAATATGTTTTTTTCTAGATAAGTAAGAATGCATTGCTTTCCCTGTACACACACCTTACTTTTCTAGAATACTATTTTAAGGAACTTTTACCTCAAACTGCACTACCACTTCTTACCTTTGTTTCCAAAGGTTGATACACATACCAATTCAAGTAAAAGGTGTTATTTAAAAAACACTGGTTTATCCTTTAAAAAAATATACTGTCCAATTATGCAGTTTCCTTTACAAAAAAATCGCTGATTTTTAACACAAAAACTTAAAGAGTTCTCAAAGATATTCAGTTTTCATCTTTAAACATATCACAGCACTTTTCTAGTGCATTTAAAACTCCAGATGGTGCAGATCTGCTAAAGCTGATCTATTTTCTGCAAAGTCAAGTCACATTCCAGTAAACTTCTGCAAGAATTTCAGACTCTCACTATACGTTTGTGGATACTGATTCAACAGCTCTGTAACTTAGCAGTTTGCAATTCTTTCTCCACCCAGGTTTTCTGAACAGCTTTGAGGAGTTACAAGCAGAGGAATGTGGTATTCTGAATGGATGTGAAAATGGCCGGTGTGTAAGAGTCCAGGAAGGCTACACCTGTGACTGCTTTGATGGTTATCACCTGGACATGGCCAAAATGACTTGTGTTGGTAAGGATAGCATATTACTTCATTTTCTTCTGTTAGTCTGTCAGTTTACTCAGTCACTTGACCTGAGGAGGGGCTAGAACAAAGGGGTTAGAGATGATCACCTGAATTGTATTAAAGATGTCAACTTTGATTTACTGCAAAGGCCAGTAAATATTGTTACAGAAATAACCATGTTGGTGTTCCTCAGTTCATCTTGGTCATTACAGCTGTGTTCAGTTAAGAGCCTAGAAATGAGCAGACACTCATTTGTGTAATGAAGCTTAAACTTATACCAATAGTTTAACACTGATATATGGAACAAAGGTTTTTCAAAGGCTTTACTGAGCTGAGAGAATGGAACTGGATCCAGAGTATAACAGTAATTTTATGACCAGATTTTTAGCATGGTTATATCACCTAAATATGCAGTTAAGCACTTGGTGGGGTTTCCCCCTGATTCTCACTGATTTCAACAGTTAACAGACCCAACTATTCCTCTCACTCAAACTAGTGAATCTGCACAACTAACCAGGACATTGGTTAATGTCTAACCACAGACAATGACTGTGTCTTCAATTAAAACAACAAAACATGGGAATGGCAAGTGTCAGTGAGAAGATGCAGCAAAACAGCACCCCTCAGTATAGAAGCCTAGTGGAGACCATGCATGGGTATTTCAGTTTAAGGTCTGTGCTAACATTGCTTAGCACTGTTTCAAAACCCACAGCTGTGGTCTCCCAGCTGTATTGTGATAAGCTGCCTGCAATGCCTTGTAGCCAGCAACTAAGCCACACACTGCCACTCACTCACTCCCCTGGTGGGATGGGGGAGAGGAAAGGTTGAAGTGTGAAAACTCGTGGGTTGAGATAAAGATGGTTTAATAAGTAAAGCAAAAGCAGCACACGTAAGCAAAGCAAAACAAGGAATTCATTCACTGCTTCCCATCGGCAGGCAGGTGTTCAGCCATGTCCAAGAAAGCAGGGCTCCATCCCATGTAATGGTGACTTGGGAAGACAAAGCCTTCTGAACGTTTCCTCCTTCCTCCCTCTAGTTTATATGCTGAGCATGAGGCCATATGGTATGGGATATCCCTTTGGTCAGTTGGGGTCAGCTGTCCCAGCTGTGTCCCCTCCCAACTCCTTGTGCACCCCCAGCCATCCCGCTGGTGGGGTGGGGTGAGAGGCAGAAAAGGCCTTGGCTCTGTGTGAGCGCTGCTCAGCAGTAACAAAAACATCCCTGTGTTATCAGCACTGTTTCCAGCACAAATCCAAAGCACGGCCCCATACCAGCTACTGTGAAGAAAATTAATTCTGTCTCAGCCAAAACCAGCACAGCAAGAAAAGATGTAGCTCCTGTGTATCTCAGGCCAATGCTGCACAACATTGAGTGCAGCTAGTTTGCTGTTCACAGCTATTTAGTTGACAACACCAACAGCTCCTGAAGTACTTGATTTTTTAAAAGTACACATATTATGCTAAGAATAAGCTTCTTTCTTATAAGCCACTTTTCAGTCAGCAGATAAAAACCTGTAAGTTGTTATTAAATTTTTGTTTTGCAGCTTAGGCTGAATTTGGACTTGGCAATCTAACAGTTTAAGGCCATTTAATACACTATTGATTTCCTGTGATAACTTCCGCCTCTTCTCATCTGTTACAGCTTTTGTCCCGGCCTTAATTCTACCTGATCTGAACTGAAAATAAAGTTCTCAGTGTATTCAAACAGCATGTTCTCCTCCTGACAATGCTGGAAATAAATGAATTTTACCTACACACCAGACTTAAGTACATGTCTTTTGATGTCCCCTTTTTGCAGATGTGAATGAGTGCAACGAGCTGAACAACAGGATGTCTCTCTGCAAGAATGCCAAATGCATTAACACAGAAGGTTCATACAAGTGTTTGTGTCTCCCAGGGTACGTACCTTCAGACAAGCCAAACTACTGCACACCACTGAACTCAGAACTAGACAGTGAACTGGAGTAGAGGAAAATCTCCATATCCTAAGCCCATATACTCTGCACTGTATAAAGAAAAGGAAGAAAAGTATTTAACTTGAGAAGGCAACGGAGTAGCAAAAGTAAGGGGAGAAAAGCATTAAAATGTGTCAAAGATGAGACATGATGGGCTGATTGTATATCAGCTTCATGGAAGTGACAGACCAAATGGACACATTACTCTGTATGAAAGAAACAATCAAGTATATAGTGTGTTCATAAGAAAAAAAAAAATCTTTGAAAATAAGCAAAAACAGTGCTGTTATTTTAAACAGAAGAGCTTTGGTTTTCTGGTTTGTTGTTTTTTTACTATTGCTTAATTTGGCATTTAAATAGTGATGGAAATATTTTATATTACTATGTCATTTTTTGATTGTTCAGTTCCTTGCCTACTGTTTCTTTTCAGACCTTTTTTCTGATCAGTACAAATTCTATGATACAGATATTCTTAGGCCATTTTATAAGAACTGTTACACAGGGTAATGCTCCTCCTCCTCTGGAACATTGGTCAGTGACTTTTTTTTAATTTGCTAGTTGTCTGCCCTGTGGAGCAGGCACCACTTGTTTTCAAATGTTTATATACCTTGGCGAAAAGTCCTTATATTCATTTTGTATTCTGTATGGTTGTTACTGCACTTAAAGTCTTTAGAACCTTTCTTGCCAAGTTCAAAGCTGCTAGTGGACAACATTGGATTCCTTTTGTACATGAAAACAAAAGATTTTAGCTCACGTCTGTATTGTAATGTATAAATTGAACACAAGAGAGATCTTGTATGATTACCCTAACATATTAAAGCTGTATATTAAAACTCAATAAAATCACCTTTTTTTTTTAGAAAAAAGCTATTTATTAATTGTACTTTTTTTTCCTTTTATTGTGTTTATGTTACAAGAATCAGCCCCTCAGGTGTTTACAGTACTTAGAATTAATTTACATGACAATAGTTATAGGGAGTTGTCTGGCTGGTTTTTCCTTCTCATGCTGTTTTACTAAGACCAGAATCTGAATTAGTTGGTGCCTCAAGTTAGGCTTCCAGAGGGAAGATTTCAAACACAGACCTACAGAAACTGTTTGACTTGGAAGCTGATTCCCATGGAATTTTTCTTCTTTCCTGCGTTAGGCGTGTTTCCCACTAAATCTGCAAATAAGGCTCTTCAGTATGATGGCCTGGTTTTCAGAAAATACTGAAAGACAAGGGGGAGAATTTCCTTTTCTTGATGAACTGTACCTTCCCATCAGCCCTATTTTTCAGTGGAAGGAGAGAAAGAGATTAGGAGACTGACAGATGTTTCACTTTGACCTTCTCCAGAGTGAAACAGTTTGTTTTGGAAATCCCAAAACAGGTCCTTTTGATACATTCCAAATGAAACATTTTTGCTGTGTCTTTTAGACCTGCCCTGCATTAAAAGGAAAAGGATAATATGAGACTTTAAAAAGTGGGTCAAATTGGGTCCAATTGTCCAAAAATTAGATTTTTATTTCTCATTTCACCAAAAGAAGAAATACTTGTTTTGGTTCTGAACCAAATTTCTTTTCCAATATTTAGGTCAGCCACTGAACCAAAAATATAATAAGTTATATTCCTTTCAGTACTGCACACTCAGTATATCTTGTTAAAGTCCATATGCCTGTGAACGTGCACAAGCATCTGTCCTTCCCGGGGCCCCTCCTCGCTACCTGCTGGAATTTGACACTGACTAGTGATGATATTGTATGTTTAAGATCTGATGGTATTTTAAAATGCAAGAAAAAATCCTGAATAAAACTGTGAGGGATCTTTAAGGAAGAGACTCTTTGAAAAGTGTCCAACTCCTTTGACTTTTCTAGAAATTAAGCAGGAGAGGGGTGGAGGACCAGTCACACTTCTCAGGCAAAAGATGTAGACTACAAACACTACAGCTGGTCTATAATTTTTTAAAAAATAATAATAATAATTCTTGCTTACTTGCTGTCATTAAGAAGGAAAGAGGGAAGGTCTGGTCTTACTAGGGAATTCCGTAACTAAAGAACTCTTAGTTGTCCTGCTTAATGTTAATCCTACAATCTTAATAAAAATCAAAGTCACAGTTACAGCCTTTCACTGGATTCAAGATGAGCTCTGGTCTGCTTTCATCTATCATGAAAATTCATAGACAAGACAGTGTTCCCCCCACTCCCACCTCCAGACAGCTTCCTCCTGCTTTAGAAACTGTTCACCTCTGAAAGATGGCCCAGGCCCCAAAGCTGCCATTGCAACCACCACCACAGCCTCAGATTTTCAACATCCCAGTTCTCCTTCAATCCCTCCCCAGCTAGGGAGTTAAAATGGCAGTACACATCTCCGCTTTTCCTGGGAGTACACTGTTATGACAGCTGAGGAACTAACACTCAGACTTCAGTACCCTTAGAAGTCTTCGCTTGGGGACAAACACTGTACTGAACATGTTAACTCTGAGCCACAAGATTGGCTCCTTGCTGATTTATTACATCTTTTTAAAGCAACAAGTTTAGAATAACCTGGGACTTTGCCATTCTCAGACAATATACACTCCAACCCCCTTACTTTATGTTATTTCAGACCAAAAAAACCAACCCAACCCCAAGCGTTCCATGAGCAACAAAACTAAAATGAAGCATGAACTCCTATAACCTTTCCTCATAACTCTCCTCAGCCGACTAACTCCAGGTCCTCCAGCTTCTTGCATCTCTGCTACTCTCAACAAGCCCAACCAGCAAACCTAAGCCTAAGTGGCCTCTTGGCCTATCAATTTCTGTTACCAGCAATTCACAAAAGGGGTTTTGGAGATGTGTCCGGCCACCCTCCATCTCCTCTGCCCGATTCGAGGGCAGCAGTTGACTCAAGCCCTGAGTGAAGCTTGAAAACATTGTTCTGATTCAATAGCCCTGTCCTCATCACAGCCGCACTCTTCTATTACAGACACTATATAAGCAAACAACACACTTTGTGCATGCTTCTGCCTTTCCCTTTTGCCTCTTCTTACCTCTAATTAAAGCCTTAAAACACACGCACAGAGCCAAAAGCAGACCAAACAGTCTAAACTCCACCTACATCCCAGTGCTTAGTATTCCACGTTGCCTGGCTCCAGGCCTTCAGAAATGCTTTTAACAAAGGAACCACAATTGAAGGAATTAAGTGAAATTCAGCCGATCAGTTCTCAGCCTCTGGAGCCCACCTACTTTGCCCCAGTGTAGCAAGGCTGGTTCTGTCATTTCACCTGAAAAGCTGCAGGGCTTAGGAATACAATTTTGATTCATAGTTAAATAAACATTTTCTTAACATCATTAAGACGAGGGATTGGACACCATGGATGTAGCCATTTACTTGTTACAAGAGCTGCGGTTTAGGTGAGAGCCCTAAAAATACAGAAACCACCACGTACAATTCCATGATTCAAGTTTCTCAGTGCAGCAGAGTCTGGAACTGATTACAATTTATACCAAATGGCACCAATACTTTTTACATCCATATGGACCCTAAAAAAAAAAAATATTAGTCCTTTTTCAGCCAGCCATTTCCTTGCTACAAAACATAAAACTGCTGACATGGTAGAACTGAATTCTGCTAGTTCCCTTATAATGCTGCTGTGTCAATGAGAATAAAGTTACTACAAAACTAGAGTTACACACATTTCAGCTACAAATATATTTGATATCAATAAACACTTTCATGTTGAGATGCTATTCAGTGAAAAATTAGCCAATGTTAAAACTATTCAAAATGAGCGCTAACATTCCTTGGGGAAAAAACAGCCATAGCTGGACAGATCTTTTCAATCCAAGAGACAAAACTGGCAGTCATGACAAATATTCAGCTAGTCAGTGGCAACTGACACACTCACATAAATTCCTAAGAGAAGTCTTAATATGCTAAAGGTGCCAAAGTGGTTGTCATGACCCATTAGCTCACAGTGATCCTTACCCTCACAGGGGTTTGAATCTGAGTTTTAGGTTCCTCACTGCCTCATGTGTGATGTCCATATGGCAGCAGAGGGGCTCCTGCCTTTGGCCCTCTTTCCTAACTTCTCAAAAGGAAAGGTGGCAGATCCCATTAGACTGTGTCACAGGCCTGATCTGGCCAGCAATTGAACCACAGTGCATTTCTTCAAAATGCACAGCAAACTTAAAAACCTCACTGCTGCTTCTAGAAGAAACTTTTTTGTTCTTTTAAAAATGCCACCCACTTTGAAGAGTAGTTTGTACTTGCTGGGGTCTCTGCTAACACCAAGCAGGCCAATGGAGCTATTAAGCTTTGCAAAGCAAAGAAGAGGTGAATTGCTGTATGTGACAGAAGCTTCTGCTCACTTCTGAGATCATTATTTGGTATTTACATAGCTTTTTCTATCAGGAGATCTGAAATTTACCTAGGGAAGCCAAGTGGTACGTCCAAAAGAGAAGCAGAATCACTAAGAGTGAGTGAATGAGGAAAATCAGCCATTTGCTGAAGGCTTCGTGATGAGTGACAATGTCAGCTTGGGAGAGAGTAACAGTGTTCTTTGGGAGAATTTCAGGGACCAAGCTACAGTCACTGCATTCACCTGCAGGAATAACCTCACACAGCAAAACTAGAAAATTTGGACCCTCCTGAGGCACCAGCTCCACAGCTGGCACAGGCTGTGTTTGCACACCAAGCTGTGAAAGATCTTGAACCCCCAACACCACACCACCCCTGCCAACCTTTACTATTTGACTACCTATGTACCAAAAAGAAAACACATGTTGAAACAGGATTATCCTGTAACAACTTGCATTAATAAATGATTGTACTATCTGGTGGGAAAGAATCACATAAACCAAAGAAATGCAGGATGTCAGGTATGTCAGTTTTCCTTCAAGACCTTTCACTTTGGAGAAAACAAATCTGCTAGCCCATCTCTGGAGAATCCCATCCAGAAGGAGCATTATGCACAATGTGCACTCTTGCTTGCTATCGACCAATATGTTCTTGAAGAGTTAAGTGGCAACCTTAGGTGGAAGGGAAGTTCTGCAGGAAAATTTTTATCCTAACAAAAGACACAGAGGAGGGAGGAAATTAGGATATTCTTATTCCTTTCTGCACTGACTTTCCCTTCTCCTCAGTGTGCTTTGCCACACACTGCTTTCCATTAGCTCTGAACCAAGGGGGATAGAGAGGATACTGCTAGCCAGCATGGAAAATTTCTACGTGACAATTTCAGCATCACCTCCAATCCCTATCTACTCATGCTGCCAGGATCCATTCTGGGCTGGATTTTTCCAAAGCACTCCATATTGATTTAGCTCTCCTCCCACTGAAACCTGTGGCACCTTCACAGATTCCAGTGGGAGCAGAGCAAAGGCTGTGCCAAGCTCTTTTGAAAAAAAAAAATCCCACCATGTGTGTTTAATGAGGATTGTCTCTGGCAGAAAAGTTTTGAGTACAGCTAAGCAGATTTTTTATTTCATTCACATTAAAAGTTTAATTTCTGCCACTTCTCATCCAGCAGGTAACTGCCCGGAAGGGTGGGTAGGACCTGTTCCAAAACCCCCAGCAGGATACGGTCTGTTTCCACCTAAAACTGATTTAAACTTTCCTGTCATCTAAATGGTCCCTGTCACTTTGTGAGTGGGCACCATTCTCCTTCCTTCTACAGGCAGCCATCCAGCTCAGCTCTGGCCACAAGGGCATTCCCCATTTTCTGTCCCATCTGAAACCCCTTTCCAGGGCCACACCTCACTGCAGTCCTGCTTCTGCTTTTTGCCTCCAGCACACCCGGTCATTTGCTCATGACCCAAAGCCTCAGCATCCCATGCACTTCCTGTTCATTGGCATTGGACTCCACAAAGTAGTTTTCAGTCTCTACATACAGATTTGCCATGTGGTG